GACTCTCTAATGCAGTAATTTCAGTACCCATCTAACCTGTCCATATTTCATCAAGCATTGCTTCTTTAAAGGAACGAGGTATATGATGTGAAGAAAGTGACGCCAAGAAACTGCGATGGGAAGCATAGAATTTATCACATGATACATAATCAGAGAGAGGATACCCCGAACCTGAAGATGACTGATGAGAGGGTGAAGTTGGTGAGAGAGAGAGAGAGAGTAGAGTCGACAGTGACGGTGTTGACAACATAGTCACATAATCGTGTTGATGGTATCTTAGAACGAAGACCTCTGCCCAAGTTCTCAGCAATCACAGGAGAAGTATCAACATTTAACTCCGGTTCATCAATCGTAGGAACCAGAATCGGGACTTCTTGAGTGTGACCATCATCTTGTTGATCAACCGGTAAACTACCCTCTGTTATAGGCAACTCAATGTCTGATGTACTACTGTCAGAATCTGTTTCATCAAACGAAACCTCACTTAGTTCATTCGGAGTCTCAGGTACCGCTAGTTAAGAAGGTGCAACTGAAAAAGGAAAAGTGTTCTCACGTCCCTAGATGTAAACGTACTCTATTTCTCCAAATCGAGCAGGAGCCAACCTTTCTTACCCGAAGGATACCCCAAGAAGACACATCGACGACTTCTAGCTGCAAATTTATCTCCTTGATGATTAAAATTGTGAGCGTAGGCTATACACCCAAACATCTTAAGGTGATTAAAAGATGGAGAATGCCTATATAGTTTTTCAAAAGGAATTTTGCCGTTGAGAAGCTGAGATGGAGTACGATTCATCAAATATACTGCAGTTTTTACACATTCGCCCCAGTATTCAATAGGAAGATGGGCTTGAAATCTCAGTGCACGAGCTATGTTGAGTATATGACGGTGCTTACGTTCAACCCTGCCATTTTGTTGTGGTGTGTACACACATGAAGTTTCATGGTGAACTCCATTCTCTTGAAAATATCGTGATAGACATACAAACTCTGTTCCGTTGTCAGTTCGTATGGTCTTTACTTTCTTGGAAAACTGTGTGTTAACCAAGGCAAGGAAGTCAAGCATATGGTGCGAGACCGATGACTTGTTTTGTAAAATATATACCCAAACAGCCCAGGAATGATCATCGACTATCATTAAGAAATAACGTGTTCCACACAATGCCATGTGCGATAAGGACCCCATAAGTCACAATGAATCAAATCAAAAATTGCATTAGAATAAGTAGAACTCTCTGGAAAACATTGACCTGTTTGTTTAGCACGTAAGCAAATATCACAGTTTTAATAAAAATCCTTAGGACTACTAACACCCGAAAGTAAACTAACAATGCGAGAAGACGGATGACCCAAACGATGATGCCATAAGGTAGAGTCTTCACCCACACTAGTATGCAATGGAGTAATTGACGGAGCACAGCAGAGCCGGTAAATTCCCTCTCTATCTCTCTCTTTCAGCATCCTCGTAGTGCGGTCCTGTATGATCAACAATTTGTTAGTAACCTGTCCTACCAAACCATTATCGGTAAGTAGTTGACCAAATGAGATTAAATTTGTGTCAAATCCATCAACTAGATAAACATTATAGAGTACTAGTTGTGGACTTAATCTAATTGTCACTTGTTTGGAAGCAAGGACATTCATTCCTATAGTTGTGGACTTAATCTAATTGTCACTTGGTAGCATGAACTCGCCTCATATCCCATCTTACCACACACCGTACACTTCCTTGATGGATCCCGATTATTAGGATGTGTCGATGACTGAAAGTTGGTGCTCAAAAGAGAAGACTGCTCCCTATTGTATCCATAAGAGTTGATTTGTGAAGCAAAACTCATGATTTGAGTCTCCTGAGAAACTGTCGAGCGTATTGTTTCATTCTTAAGAATGTCTGATACACACTATCAAGATCTGGGAGTGGTGTGACAGCACAAATTTGAGATCTAGTAACACCATGAGCCGAGTCATCAAGACCAGAAAGAAAGTCATGAACCCGAAGTATTTCTCTCTCTGCCTCGTGAGCAGTATTAAGATTGCATTCACACTTTCTGCAGTTACATTGTTTAGAATTCTTACATTCCCGGATTCCGTCCCAAATCTTCGTCAGTCTACCGAAGTAATCATCAACAGACGCTCCGTTTTGTTTACAAGTGGCGAGAAAGTTGCAAAGTTGTTGAAGCCGAGCTCCACTCTTCACCGAGAATCTCTTCTTGATTATATCCCACAATTCCTTAGCTACCTCGCGAGTAGATATCGAAGATCAAAGTTTTGGTTCAATGGTTTTTTATCCATCCAACCAACATGTGATTGTTCCATATCCAGTCTTCAAGGTTTGAGGAATTTGCATCTGGTTTTGGAATACTTCCATCAATAAAGCCAAACTTCTTGCGTGAACTCAACGCCATACGCAAGTTAATTTCCCACTCATCATAATTTGCACCGTTATGCAACGGGATGAAATCACTGCACCTGGATTATCACCGGACGTGAGGTCATAGGGTGAGATGGTGTGTCGTTTAGGTTCGCTAGTTTTGTCTCCCATCGTGCACAGCCGTTAAAACAACTCGTAAACAAGTAGAGAAGAAAACAAATCTTTTAAAAAGGAGTGGCTCTGTTTTCGTGAAAGAACGACAGAGGCAGCTCAAAACTGATGAATTTGAAGAAATTGGATAAATGCTCTGATACCATGACAAGTTTATGAGTTGCTTAATATTCTCTCTTGTTTTATTAATGTCACGATGAACCAATATTTATACAACCTTTGTTTTAACGAAAATAACAAGAATAGGAAATATAGGTATATACAAATCTATATTGACCATATGTAATAAATATGATTTGAATCTGGTCGTTTTTTTGAGATTTTTGGTATTTCAGTATTAGAGGCATAAGATCTGTTCAAACGTTTATCTCTCTCAGGCCGGGGTTGGTTTGATTTGGTTCCATTCGAGTTCGGGTGGGTACTAGTAAATTTTTTAAGAGCTAGTCTTTATTCGCATACCTGTCAGATATGGTTCAGATCGATACTTTTATCAAAAAAACCATCATTATTTTTCAAAAAAAAAACCATCACTATTTTTTAAAAAAAAATCCATCATTACGGTTTGATTAGTTATTTTTTGTATCCAAGTTATCCAATTTATTGAAGAATATCAAAAATACTCATTAAACATGGTTTGATTTATTTGTATTCAAACTATCTAATTTATCTTTACTATGGTGCAAGGAGAGTAGTTATGTCAGACACATGGGCGAAGCTATAGGGAAATTATTTATTAGATCATAATTGGTTATAAAAAATAAATATGCAAGACACAGGCTCCAACTAAAAATATATGGGTGCATAGCCTGACTTTTACCATCTTAATTACTGAAGTTTCAATGATTTTAGCTGTAAATACTTTTAATCAATATATTTATCGGTGCACGTGCCATCACATCACCTAACGTTACTTTATCTCCGGTCAGACATGAATCTTCATTATGCATGTAAAACTGTCGGATGTAAATGTTTTTTTTAACATTTTAAGTAATTTATAATAACATAAAATCTTACAAAAAAACTATAATTTATCTTAAAATTTTCCAAATACCTGATATATTTATAGTTATAGTTTTTACCATAAATGGAAATTAGGAAACATATAACTATAGCTAATATTTCTATTTTTAAAAGAAATATTATATATATATAGATATTTAATATTTATTTATATACTTATTTGGTTTTCAGTTCAGAAGCAATAGCAACTCTTCAAATATATCAATTTATCAAAACTAATCAAAATCAGTTCAGCGTATCAAATTTTTGGATCAGTTATTCAGGTGCAGGTGCAGGTTCAGATGCTGTGTCCACCTCTATTTACAACCATCCAAAATCACAAATTGATGTTTATTTTGTAGTCGATGGCTAGAACGACCAGCGACTAGAGCTGGGAATTTAAGTGTTTATTTACTGGTTCCGTCTCGTTTGATCCACCATAGACGTAGATTGACTGATTCAAAAAAATTAACTTACAGGTGCGGATAGATTGAATTTGAATTGTAGATATCTGTCAACTCACAAAAAAGTTGTAAAAAATTTAATATTTTAAAACAATTATGTAATTTTAAATATAAATATATTGTTTATATTATTTCCATAAAAAATAATAATATATTTTGCGAACTGAAAACAAAATACCAAACGAATATTGAATTAGAAGAGATTTGATATCCAAACTATAATACCCAAATCCAAAGATAACCAAACATATATGTACTTAACCATATATTTCTAGTTTACTTTTCTTATTTTTTTCAAAATATGTTAATATTACACATGAGTTAAAATCATATAGTAAATATTTAATTTTGGATAAAGTGATTTACTACTCACCTAAAATGAATGTCAAGCTCTTACTCTTATTCTGTGTATTAATAAAAGTTGCTCGAATTGAGGGAGGATCTGGAGCGAATCCATGAAATGGAACGGAACCTCCAGAACAAGAGGGATCCCGACCGGAACCAAAATTTCAAAACAATAATCAAGTTATTGTAATTTTGTTTTCCAAATTTAGTGTCTAAACCTATTATTCTTCATATTAAAAATTGAAAATAAGTTGGATTGAAGATATATTTTTAAATACAAGAAATTTAAACAATGAACATTTGATTTTTTTTTTTTAAAGTTAAATATCCGACCCAATTCGAAATAACCAAATCCGAACTAAAGATATCCGAAATCGGCCCTAAGTATAGAAATACCTAAACGAATACTAAACCCTATATTAAAATACCCAGAAATCTAAAATATCCATCAGAATTCCGAACGCCCACCAGCGACACCAAGTCATCAACACATATCTTACTCCTGGCTGAAAGTTGTTATGGGCTTTGATCAATAGCGTTTTGGGCTTAAAAACGATCAACCCCGTTAACCAAAGAACAGAACAAAGACTTTTGACTTCCAGCGCGGGTTCGAACACACCCGGTCGCAAATCAAAACAAGAAAAATGAATGTTTTGTGTCTCCGTCTCTCAGAGTAGGCGCGTGTAACTAACCCTTCAACGCGAACACGTTCCTTCCTTCATCCCATCTGAAAAACTAGTCTTCTCTGTGCCTCCTTGAAACCCTAATAATGAAGAACGCAACAGAAGCTTCTTCGTAATGGGTCAGCAACTTCGTCGAGCCGTTGGTAAAGTCAAAGAAGTCGAGAAATTTCCATCAAGGGTCGCCGCCGATCGGAGATCGCTTCCAAAAGAAGAGCTCACCGCCGTGAAACCTCCGTCTACAGCCGCCGTTGACGGTGTTTCAGGTATTAAAAAAACCCTAAATTCACTATCTCAGCTTTTGGGTATTCCAAAAATTTCACCTTTATTATGAAACATGATTCGATATGTTGAATCGTGGGTATATCTGTTAGATGAAGAAGCTCGGAGAAAGAGTGATGATAATGTTTTAGAAGAACGAGACCCAATGTACGATACAATGTTGAACCAAATGGTTGGGAGGATAAAAGCTAAACCAGGAGGCAAAGCTGAGATGGGAGAGGTTAGTACAGTAGTTCACTCTTGTCTGTTTCTTACAAATCGAGGCTTTGAATCTTGAAATTGGTTTGATTACCTACATTGATTGTTAAATGTCGTTGCTCTAGTTTCACCGTTTTGATTATGTTGCTTGAATTTGCATCTTATAAAGTTTATTTTGGTTTGAGACTGAGAGATGAAATGTGAGGATGTGGATAATGCAATAAACGAAACTTTATATATAGGCATCGGTAGTGGAAACGTCGAAGAGGCCGCTCCCAAAGCTCCGGAACACGACTCCTGAATCAACAAGGTACGAGGAGAAACCAGTGCCTCAAGGAACGTTGAACGTGGCACAAGTCAGACACATCATGCTTCTCTATCAGGGGAAAGCTCAGGATCACAACGGTCCGATGAGTGTGGAGGAGATAGCTAAAAACTACAGGATTGACGTCTCCCAGGTCCAGAAAATCACACAGTTCTTGTCTTTGCCTCCAGAGGTTACTGATAAGCAGAAGAAACGATATGAATAAATGTAAGAGGTTCTGTTTGGTTCATTATAGAAATTTTTGTGCGTCTATGTGTAACACAGAACCAGATATGACATTGACTTTGATTTTTTTTTTCTGTGAGCAATAATGTATGACAATGTATCTAAGAATACAAAGCTATGTATAACAAGATGTGATTCTGTGGAAACAGCAGTTACGTTAGATTGTCGATATAAATGAAAATGTTAAAGTGCAAGGCTCTGCATTGTCATGTCAATCTGAGACTCAGCTAGAGAAGATGTATATATATATATGTTTCCTCAGCAACATTATTGCCGTGGGTCAAGAATGTGGATTCTCCAGCCACGGCATTGGTGAAGATGGGTCATTTTCTTCCCCTAAAACTCTGACATAGAGCAAACCATGTTCCTCCAACCTTTGAGCAAATCCTGGATGCTTTTCTTTCATTCTCTCGGACATAACAAGCTCAGTACACTTGGTGTCTCTACTCGCGGCTTAGGCTCTATCTCACCAGAGAAGAACAAATTTGATGGAAACTCAGGAATCTGTCTCCATCATCAACATTAGGCCTCGGTGTTTTACCCAAACTGAATTCCATATCTTAATAAAAACTGAAATCCGATCTGACCGTTATATAAAAATATCTGAACGATACTTAAAAGCTTGATACTTTAGGTTTTGGGTACAACATGAACGGAACCAAAACCCAAATTAAGATTCGTAAATATCCGAAATTAAATATCTTAACATTTTTATATATGATTTTTCATAGAATTTTAAAGACTTTGTAGTTTGTTCTATTTGTTATGTTGAATACTTATAGTTAGTTTAGGTAGTTTAATTAATTTCTTTAATTAAACTAGGAGTATAACCTCCACGCAAGCACGGGATCGGACACATAGTTAATGTATTCTATAATTTTATTATATTTTTTGACGTTTGACATATAAGATGAACCGATATGGCATGTGATAGTTTTTCATATTAGTTAATAAAGTTCTAAAAAACCATATATCGGTAACCAATATGCAGTGATGTTAAATGCCAAAGATTCTTATCAATCTTTTCTAATTTCTATAAATTCGTCATTTTTTATATATTTTGGAAATCTCATAAACAGAGGCGGCGAGCAACCATAAACTAAACAGTTCAACCAAGGTAAAAATAATTGAAAGTTGAGAGGCATGCATGGCTTTAGCAACTGGAGCAGAAGATGAAGTCATTCTTGAGAATATGTAATAAAAGTTGACTCGAAGAAGAATCGATTAGAGAATCTGAGATGAATGATTCCTCCGTTAAGATAGAATATATATTAAGCAGAACGTAGGAGGTGTTACGAACGTGGTTCATTATTAATTAGTGGAGTAAAAATAGGTCCATTATGTAGTTTTGTTAAATGCCAATGTTCTTCTTAATCTTCTCTAATTCCCCAAAATTCGCCAATTTTTTTGTATATTCCAGGAATCCTAGAACGGAGGTAGCGAGCAACCACAAACTGAGCAGTTCAGCCAAGGTAGGAGAATCGAAAGGTGAAAGACATGCAACGGCTTTTGCAACTGGAGCAAAAGATGAAATCATTTCGAAAAATGTAATAAAATTCGACTGGAAGAAGAATCGATCAAAGAATCAGAGATGAAGGTTTCCTCCGCTTAGATAGAATATATATTAAGTGGAATGCATGAGGTATTACGAATGTGTTCCATTACTAATTAACATAGTAAAAATGAGATACATAGAGGTAGAGTAAGAGAAATTGATTCAAGGAAACACAAACAGTCACTATATGTTTAGATTAGTCTGAAGCTCTGTTCGGAATGACATTATGCATTGGTCGGGCGGATGATGAAGACCTAGCGAATTAATGATTAACCGGAGATTACGCTGGGATTAAAGGAGATTTATTTTTAAATATTTTATTTTAAGTATAAAATAAGTTAATTATGTTTTGAGATAAAATATATTTAAGATAGATACATGATAATCATTTCAAATGACAAATAAATAAATTTTATAAAATGTTTTAAAGTCCATATTTGTAAGAAATAAAAAATTATATAAACAGAGAACTTGCACACTTGCAAGTATAATTTTTACTCTCATACATAACATACGATCTATCTAATCTTCTATTTTAATTCAATATCTTATAACTAACTTTTTGCTATATTCTAATTTAGAATATGAATAGTCTCAATTTTGAGTTTATTTATACGAAGCAACTTTTTATTGTTTTTTCTTTGCCTTTCATACTGATTATTTTTTTTTGTTGGGTTAGTTTAAATCTTAGAGTTGATGGAATTTGGAAAATGTGTGGTATAAAATAAGCTAATGAACAAATTTACTCCAAGTTTATTAAAAAACGAAGCAAAAGTATTAAAAATTATTTAACCAATAAAACTTATCAAAATTCAAACAAAACAGCTCACCTAATAGTAAAGGGAAAATTTTCAAATGCTATATTTATGATTTTAAATTTGTAAATACTAAAAATATTTTTAGCCTGATTTGATTTCAAAGTAATAAATTAAAAACTAAATTAAAATTTCAGTTAATTATGTTTCTAGATAAACATATGTTTAAGATAGATATATGTTAATCATTTCAAATGGAAAATAGAGAAATCTCATACAAAAATATTTTCAAATTTTTTATAATTTATAATATAAAACTGCGCGGTGAAAGACTCTAGTATTTATAGATGGAGAATATTAACGGATTATAAAGGAAATCCTAGGAATTGATGACAAAGAAATAAAATCACTTGTTAACATTTAAACAACTAACAAAAACAAATAAAACCATGTCTATGGTCTTGTTCATTCGTGCCGTTTGAGTCTGGTATTTTAAAATGGGAAATTATATTGTATAACCAAAAAATCCAAAATTCACTCTCTAACCAAAACAGTGCTCTCACTTTATTTTTCTATCTCTCTCTATTTTTTCTTTACAGGGTCAATTTTCTTTTTTCTTATTTTTTCTCTACAGAGTCAATTTTCATTTTTCTTGGTTATTCACATATAAACCTTTTTCAAATCTATTTCTCGGCACATAATGTAATTAGGAATTTCTGTGCATTTTAAAATCTTGAAACTGTAGACTTCTCTTTTTTCTCACATTATATCATTTGTATTTTATATTTCTCTCATTTAAAACTGAATGAGGTCCGATTGTTCTAACCGGATAGTGTTGGCCTCTTTTTCAAGCTTATAAATATTTTGTTCTTTTTTCATTGCTGGGGTCTACTGTTTAAAAAGATCATTATCGCACCCTGATAAGAACTGTGAGTTGTTAGTGAGGTGGTAGAAGATCTCCGAGGCAAAGTTTATAAAACACAAATGATATAATATGAGAAACAAAAAGAAGTCTGAGACGGGAGTGAGCATCTCTTGGCCGCTCGAAGAAAGTGAATGAAGAGAGATCGAGGCGAAACTGGTGTTGGAGTTACAATTGGCTTTGGGAGGTATTGCGAGAAAGAAAAGTAATTGAGAAGATTACAAGAGGTTCACGGCAGCAGAACTCCGAAGTGGCTGAGCTTTTGCTGATTTACGCATGTGAGACACGTGTCAATGGACGTGTCTCATGCGGCTCAGTAAACGAATACATGTTAATGCCGAAGACTCTAGATCACTTTCAATTAGTCAAAATTTTTAAACTTTAAAGGCCAATACCATATGTAGTTGTAGCCTATGAGATAGTCTAAATCAATGAATATTTGATCGTGTTAGATTCATGTTTATCACGTGCTTCTAACTTAAAAATGATTGGTGATTAATGGATTGATTCTAACTTTTTATATATTATTTAAAGTTCTTTTGATTTTTCGATTGCAGAGTATATTATCTCTAATACTCTTCTTTGAAATGATGGTTTTTATCAGCCAAAAATCTCAAAATTATTAAGATATTTATATTCGATTAATCGAGTTAAATACGATAATTATACATAGTCGAAAGGTTAAATACAACATATATATCCGATCGAAAAGATTAACTAATTAACTAAGAGTTTAGGATTTTTTTAAGATCTAGACGCTGATATCATGCTAGATTCAGATTTGTTATGAGTTTCCAACTTAAAACCAATTGGTAAACAATAGATTCGCCTTAATTCTTTATATATTACTTACGGTGTTTTTGATAGATTGATGAGAGTAGAAAATTGGAAGTAATATTATTGACTTTCATCAATTTATCATGGTATCAAAACTCATACCCTAAAAATCATAAACTTCTAATTAATTAATTAATTTTTTCGATCGAGTATATTAGTCGTGTTTAACCTTTCAATTAGATATTATTGTTTTATTTGACTCATACGATTGACTATGACTGTCATAAAGTTTAAAATTTCTGGTCGACAGAAACTATCATTTCGAGGAGAAATATTAGAAATAATATATCTCACATAAAAATTGATGAAATTTTAAATTTTAAAATATTAAATTCGATCAACTAATTACCAATTCGTTTTAAGTTTAAAATCTATAATACATTTAAATCTAATATGGTTACCTAAAAAAAATCAATATTTTATTACCGAGGAAGTTTGAATTCAAAGGTACGGTATTTATTAAATACTTTTCGTCTTTAGTAATTGAAGGCTTGTAATAATATATTATCGATACTAAAATACTTATCCTCGTGTCATATGACTCGATATGACGGTAGGTAAAATTGCATCCAACTAGCTATCCGTTGAATTCTAAATCAAATTATATTTAATTAGCTTTTAGTCAAACTGGTATCAATATGGAGAATAGTTGACTTTTGTCATATCTGCGGCGAAACTAGGTGATCCCATATTTTAACTAAATTTCATACGTAGTTTTCTTTTTGGGTCTGGGGATCATAGACCTCTTTTCTTTAATTAACAAGATGTGAAGCACATTAAAAATTAGAATGGTTGGAAAATAGTTTCTAAATGATTATCATTTTGCATATCGATATCAAGCCATCATGTATGGTGACAAAAAAAAAGCCATTATGTTTTACGTATCTATATAACCAAATTGACCAATTTTGTTTTCTGTTCATTTCAAATAAAAAATAATCTTTGACAAAATTTCCATATCAAATAGTACTAGAAGTTTAAGTTGTGGAAAATTCATTAGCATGAATGATCTAACAAATAATTTAGTTTTGGACTACGTCATGTAGAACACAATACATTGGAGTGACATTTTTATAGCATTTCTCCCTTTTATATATTTTTTCAAACCCCCCCCCCCCCCAAAGATTTGCAACATGTATGTGAACTTAATTACTCAGCATTTCATGTTTTTATAGTTCTTCATCATATTCAAGGAGAAAGAACATCAAAACAAAGTTATAGACTTTTAAAATTCATCAGCGTATACCCAAAAGTTTTCTTATTGGAAACACAAATAACACTTCTTGTTTACTTATTCATACGTGCAAATATTACACATATATCAAACACATCACATTATCCCCTTTAATAACAAAGTTCATAATCATCAGGGACCACCGGGACAGCGACATGGACAGCAATATCCAGGTGGAGCCGGTGCGCAACACACACACTGTGGACACATGCGAACTGGTGGTGATGGTGCCATCAGCTTACGCCCTCCACCTTTCAATCAACACGCAATTTTCTCTCCATGAGTAAAACCTAAACACATGAGTAACATAGAAGATGAAGAAATTGAGAGATTGATCAGCTTACCTCCTAGATGCACACTAGCTGCTTGGCATGGGAGTATTGGAGACAAGATCAACGCAAGAACAAGGACGTAAAGAAGGACACTGGATTTCGGTGACTTGGTTACCATCGTGGCTCTCTGATGTGAATATGTTATTGATTTGCTGTAGAACTTGAAATCTTGGAGAGTGTATACTTATATAGCAGGGTGGCGAGGGGTAGTAGGCTGCAACGTGGCCAAGAAGAGGACTGGGCAATAAAATAATTGAGAGATCAAATCTAGTTACCATTGACCAACATTAGCCGTTCGTTTAGATGATGCAACTCTCTCTTGAGTTCACATAGTAATTGTCAGTTTCATTAACTATCTACATCATAGATACCGAAATAAATACATTCTGCCATTATTGCAATTAGTTGACCTTGAGGTAGTTGCGGTGAGATGACTTTCTTTTAGCAAGAAAAAAAAAACTTGAATATATTCTTGTTTGTATGTTTTTGACTAAATGCTTTAATAAATTCATGTTTTTAAGATAAATGTTTTGCTTTGTAACAATATATAAATCTCTATAATATTATTAGATAAGTGAGTTTCTTACGTGTATCTCTCGTATTAACTCTCACAATGGTTGATTACACTGATACCATCAATGAATTGAATTAATTATTATAACTGCCATTATTAATAGAGAAAAAAAATTTAGATAGTTATTTTTAATTTATTTTCACAAAAATAATATTTAAACAGGAAAATGACCAAAATATGTTTTTAATAAAGGGTAAATATGTATATATATACTATTGGGTTAACTAATCTAGATTCAGAATTTAGAGTTAAGGAATGAGATTTTAGGTTTAGGATTCAAATTTTGAAAATAATTAACAAGAGGTTATCTTGGTCTTTTCTTTTTTTAAGGATATTTTGTGATAAAAACTTAAAATAACTATTTGAGAGAATTACCCTCAATATAATCTTATTATATAAAGTACGATTTTCGCTCATATGAAAGTGCCATGTCACTAATTCATCTCTTCTCAACATGACATGTGTCATGGTTCTTGGTTAATATTTTGACTTCTCGTTTGTTTGTTGGTTCATCTTTAATTAAGGATTTTTATGGCACCATTCAATGAATCACACTTTTTCTACCACTACAAGAAAACTCGTCCATTACTAGAACGAGTTTTCCTCGTTATTTCTTAGTAAATGACCATTTACTAGGAACTTACGAGGAAACACGTTTCGTCGAAACACGTTCATCGTAAAGCCTTTTTCCTCGTAAGGTCCTAGCTAATTTACGAGGAAAAGTTTCCTCGTAAATGCGTGGTTAGCTTTTCCTCGTAGTGTCCTCGTAAGGTTTCCTCGTAATGTCGTAGTAATTGATTTCCTCGTAAGCTCGTAGTACTACAGTACGAGGAACTTACTAGAATAATTTACGAGGACATTACTTCGAAACCTTTACGAGAATTTTTCTTCGAAATATTTTTCTCCCTATTAAAAAAATATTAATTATAAATATAAATAATATATTTTTAAAAAATAAAAAAATCAAATTATAAAAATATATATATATATATATTTATATTATAAAGAACTAAATAATATACAATTAAGTTTTAAAATTCATAATATACAATTAAAAAAAAAAAAACTACGGATGGTGCTCGTGAAATTGCCGAACGAAATAGTCTTGGCTCGCCAAATCCTCCTCCTCTCCAAAGTTGGTTGCCGGTTGTGACTGTGATGGTGGAGGCTGTTGGGTTGGAAGTAGGATCTACAAACTGCGCAGCCTTGTTCCGGTGGGTCCTCTCGCAAAGGTCTTTCAGAGATGGAGAACTACTGTCTCTTTAGCCTAAAAATAATTTTTAAAATTAAATATTAATTTGGAATATATATTCAAATAGAGTAAAAGTTAAATAGTTATTAAAAATCATCTTACCATGTCTAGACGAACTCCCCCGTGAGGTTTTCGACCTGTGGTGTGAAGCATCTTCGTGTTGCCATGCTCGTCTTTGGTCATGCGGTTCCCGGATTTTGTGTTGGAGGTTCTGACCGAGTCCGGTAACCCCCAATATCTGATGAGGCCATCCCACACCGTGGTTGTGAGGCAATCGGGTTTCCCATCCTCGTAACCATCCACCTGAACAAAAAATAATTTTAAAATAATTAGAGTTAAAGTCAATAATATTTTTAAAACTATATATATATATATATATATATATATAATTTATAAATCCACACCTCAAAGTCGCCCTTCCAGTTGTAGACCATGTCGAGCAATCGTGCTCTTGCCTTGGCCTCAAACTCCGTCTTCACCCGCTGGTGAATCCCTGTAGACCAACGATATTTTTGCTTTAACCAGAAAAAATAAAAGACGGATTAGTTCAATAATATTAATAATTTTAAATAATTAAAAATAAATTAAGTTGATTAATTAAACTTACAACGAACGATTTGAACCACGTCTTTTTCTGTGTGGCTTGCCGTCTTCTTCCAGTTTGGAGCTGCATCGGGAAAGTCTCCCTTGATACAGTCCATGACGCTAGTTGCGACACATCCGTCAAGACCAAACCTGGAAAGACACAAAATAAATCATTAATTAGATTAATTTGTAAATATTTTGTTAATTAAGAAATAAATTAAAAACACTTTTTAAAAATTAAAACATACCATAATACGTTGTGGCCATCCCGTCGGATATGATCTAACTCTGGCAGCCCTTCTCTGCCTGGAATGGCCAAAATATCATCCACCGTGTACACCGCAAATGGTGCGTTCGGCGGCACCTGCAAATCGAAATGAACCCCGACCGGTGGAGGAGAAGGAGGAGGTGGTTGCTCAAACCGGGACACCGTAGAAACTCCCTGAGTCTCGGGAACAGCGTCAGGATCCGGAATCGAAGATGAACCGGGAGCTGACGAAGATGAACCAGGACCAGACTGATGCCTGAAAAGATCTCCGTAGTGACTTTCCTGAAGAGGCCTCTTAGCCTTAGCAATCTTGCTCTTTCTGACCATCTAAATTTAAAAAAAAAAAAAACCAACCTAATTTAAATTACCTAAACTAACCACCTAATCTAAATTCCCTAAACTAACCACCTAATCTAAATTCCCTAAACTAACCACCTAATCTAAATTCTCTAATCTAATCACCTAACTAGGAAATAGAGAGAACCTTAAGAGAATTCAGAGAGAAGTTTACTACAAATGAGAAATCGGATTGCTCGAGTTTATATAAGGAATTTTGTTTCCTCGTAAAGCCCTAGTAACATTACTAGGCCTTTACGAGGAAATTGCTATGCCCGTGTTTTTATTTCTTCGTAAAGTCCTAGTAATACCATTACTAGGACTTTACGAGGAAACTTCTTTACGAGGAAATAGCTATGCTCGCGTTTTTTTCCTCGTAAAGTCCTAGTAACGGTAATACTAGGACTTTACGAGGAAATAGCTATGCCCGCGTTTTCTATTACTAGGGCTTTACTACGAAAGGGTTTGTAAATTCCTAAACTCGAAACCCCAAACCCCAAACCACAACTTCCTTAACTTATAACCTCTTCTACAACCAAACTCCTAACCTCTTCTACACATAAACCCCAAATGCAAATTGATTTTATGATTATACAAACTTAAAACATATATAATCCAAATTCATTTTTGTGATTAAACAAACTTATAAACATACATAATTGATTCGGATACATTCTCGTAATCTGTTGAAACATCATCATTTTCTAAAAACTCGTCCTCTACACCTTCGTCCGTTGAGTGATCAGGAACATCTTGTATTCACGATTATGCGGATCAATGAGTAGGATGTCATCAATTTCTTCTTCAGGTTCCTCGATCTCATTGGTGTTTTCTTCTTGTATTGATGGTTCTTCTCCAGCGGTTATTCGTCCTTGAGGTGTAACTTTGATAATAGCTAACCAGTTTATTCCCGAGGTAGTAATCCGAGGGTATGGAATGAAGCAAACTTGATCTGCTTGGGAAGCTAAAATGAAAGGCTCAAACTTTTTGTACCTACAAAAATAAAGATCAATGTAAAAATTAATTAATACTCGAAACCTGGATATTAAAAAAAAAAAAATTGTTGTACCTTCGTCCACCGTTGACATCAACTACACCGTTCTTGTTAATCCGAAAACCTCTGTTGACGACGAGGTCGTACCACTCACACTTGAAGATAACGCATTTCAAACTCATACCTAGGAATTGCACATCATAAATCTCCTGCAAGATCCCGTAGAAATCTGTTTCGCTTTTCACACATATTCCATAATTACTTGTCGCCCGGTGTCTACCATAGTCATAGGTATGAAAACTATAGCCTCGGGTGAAATACATCGATGATGTAGTGACCTTTGCAACTGGACTTTGAAGTAATTCACGAAACCATGCGGGATACTCAGGATCGTCATAATCAACTTGCAACAAAAAGTAATATAACTAGACATTAGACTTACTTTTTGGTAATGTATGCATACAATTTAAGTAATAATAAATACATGTTTCCTCAACCACTTGATAAAGTATTGATCTTTCCTTTTGTCTAACTCAATTGTCGATGTACCAGGTATTGCTTCCTCGACTTGAGTCACAAATTAGCTGTAAAATCATATATGTTATGTTATATATTTAATATTGAAATATATATATATATATAAGTGTGTATGTTTATATATTTACCTTTCAAAATAAGCAATCAATGGATGCTCGCTATTAAGAAGAATATAAAGGTGTGCACTATGGACGTCTTCATCACTCGACCACCAAACCTATTTCAATTTCCTACCCAATCGCTCAATTTGACAAAAGATGTCTGGAACATCGTCTTCCATATATGTCGGCACGACACCACCATCATCATATCTTCTTGGAGCTCGTTTCCTTGTACGTACTTTCGGTGCAAAGTAGTATGATGTGAAATGTGATGTTTTTCCGTCAAACTTCCCGCAACAATAGAACCTTCAACTCTTGCTAGGTTTTTGGCTTTTCCTTTCTAAGTTTTCATGGCCCTTTCATACTGATACATCCATCCATAATGCACAGGTCCACGAAGTAATGCCTCATACGGGAGGTGGACAACTAGGTGTTCCATGACGGCGAAAAAAATAGGCGGAAATATTTTCTCCAAGTTGCAGATTAAGACGAGGATGTTTTCATGAAGT